GGGCCGGGGAGGCTGCGGCTCCGGTAAGCGGTCGGGCGGCGGCGGTCGCGTGTGCCCGCGGCAAAGGGAGCGGGTCTCTCCGGGCGGGTTTCCTGCGCTAACCTGGTTTGGGATGCAGAGTTACATGTCACTTAAATTAAAGCTTATCTGCTGCGGAAAAATAAAAATCACGCGAGATCTGTAGAATCCAGGAAGGAAACATAAAGCCTGTTCTGTATTCCCAGACTGAAACGTTCCTGAATTTACAAGTTAGCAACTAGCAGTGGTAAGACTTCTGGCTGTCTCAGCCCTACAATATATCTTGATCTCATGAGCCAGCTTTATGGGTTAAACTGAAAAAAAGCAAGCAAGCTTTTCTGACTTCAAGTTCCTGAAACATTTTTTGTCTGTGACTAGAATAGATACATTATTATTTTTTTTACAATGCTCTGGACACAGCTCTGGTCAACGACTTCTATTACATTTTTTTTCCTTTCTCCCAACTGTTTTAATTTCCTTGAAATTTCAGTGACCATGTCTGTTCTTAATACAGTTTGCTCTGTGTTTCAGTATTTTAGTCAGGCCTTGTAACAGATGGATATCTTTCAAATTCTAAAATATTTTCATGAAGAAAAATGTGTGAATATGCCTGTCTTATGTATTTTCATAAGAACCTATTTTTTCTAGTAACATTGAGTCTTGCCCAAAAGCCAGTTCAGAACTCATTTTGCAGCTGGGTCACCTTTTTTGTCTGCATCTCTGTCTTTCCCCAGTGTATTTGGCCATCAGCTTTTGTGAAGCTTTGGAGCATTTATCTGTTTCTTCTGCGCATTTCCAAATCCACCTGAAGGAACCTTTGCAAGGAACCTACCTTTGGCAGAAGGTTCAAAAACTGCTGGTAGGAAAAAGTCTGCATAGAGATGCATACACTGCACTATTACATAAATGTTTTATTTTTGTAAAAAACGAAATCTGATATTTCTAAACAAGTTTGCCTTCAAATCTATTTATTTGTCCTCAACAGATGTGAGAGCACTTCAGCATCTCCTGTTCCCGCTTGGCTCTAGCAAGCATCATGAGGTTTCTAAGTCATTCTACTATACCTTTTAATGCCTCCAAAGAAGAAATATATTCCCAAGGCCAGGAAGGCAGAGCTGGTGTTCCTTGAGAGACCACAGGAGAGACCCATCCATTGCTATGCAGCTCCGCTGCCTTCAGCCAAGAATCCAAGACGTGTTCCTACAAAGCCTGTAGACCAAAACACTTCTGCTGCCTGGGTTGGTATAGATCATCCTTCCCCTTGTATCCTGCAGCAGCAGGTTTCAACTTTCTTCCTCAACTTTCTTCCTTATGTCTCAAGAGAAAGGTATCAGTTCAGAGTACTGAGAATTAGTAGAGTAACCTGAAATCACTGAAGCTGCCTACAGTGCTTTTGAGTTGCTTCACCTTCTATCTACAATCACTAAGGTATTGGTTATTTGATGGCATAAAACTGTATACCACGTGTACTATTTGTTTTCTGAAAAACTTCTTTTTTTGTCAGAAAAACACTGTTGTGACATGTGGTTTGAAACCTGGATGAAATACTCCTTTTTTTGTGTGGTGTTTTTTTTGTGTGTGTGGTTTTTTTTGTGTTTTGTTTTGTTTTTTTTTGGTTTGGTTTCTTGTTCTGGAGTTATTTTTGTGATATCTTAGTCTTGAAGTAGAACATGTTCAATTTTTTTCTCATTCATTTTTTTTTATATGCTTGAGTTGGTTAATTCTAGGGCTTTGAAACACTATGTAGAATAACTGCTCTGAAGAAGCATTCTTTATGTTTGGAAGAGGTGGAAATATTCACATTAGTACTTAGCTCTTCGATTTCAAACATACAATTATTCTAAAATTTCTTTGGAGCTATCAGCACTGAAGCTTTTAGATATTTTTTTTTCATTTGAAAATCCTGGTAGGTTTGTAACCTCTTGAAGTGTGTTCTGCAGAGTGTCTGTCAACTTGCAGTGGCAACTGATTTTCTGCTTCTCTCTTCTTGATGTTATTTAAGCTTTTCATACCCTCTTGACTGCTAGGCTCCTGCTCTGGTAAAGTCTACCCTACATATTCTCTGAAGCAAAGGAAGTTATACCCCAAAGTCAGCAAGTTCACCTGTGTTCCTTGGAGTATATGCCAGGATACAATTATCAGGGAATCACGTCTCTCTTTTCCTGCACAAAGGCTTTGCATTCAAACAGTTTCAAACATTCCTTAGTTAACTTGAAATTTTTGAGCAATTTTGTAGCAACTTAGGGATGCAGAAAAGGACGTGTAGTTATTGTAGCTAGAATCCAGTTTAGTGTGCTCTAGGGAAAAGCAAATTGCAAGAAATGGAACCTGATTATCTTTGTTGATATCCAGGAAGGTAGAGAATAGAATAAGGATTTCCAGGTTTTGAGTAAGAATCTTTCAAAGAAATGCAAATTGCTGAGCTTTGACAACCTTAAATAGAAAGCCGATTTTGGAAGTGGTGTTTGGGTGATGTTACTCCAGAATACAGAGATTAACTGTGTTTTGAAGTAAATGTGTTTGGGGGGAATATTCTGAAAGCCTTATTGAAATAATCTAAGGTGGTGGAGCTAAGTGGGCATTGCTCTTAGGTCAACTTGTTCAGGAGACTGAGGATATAGTTGACTCATTGAATCTATTCAGAGTTATGCAAAGACACAGAAAGAAACAGGATCCAGCTCTGAACTGCTTTAAATCTGCAGGGATTACAGGAGTACCAGTTAGACTTTCCTTTTTCAGAGAAGACAGGCAGAACATGATGTTGAAGTTGAGAGGTATCTTCCCCTTAGCAGCTTGGTTAGTGACTGATTTGCTCTACTGCAGATGAGATAACCTACTTACTGAACACACTGAAAAAAGATGGAATAAGTGGGGGGAGTAGAATCAGGTTGCCATATCTTTGTCTGGAAAAAAAATGTTGGTTTTTTTTCCTATTACTATCTATTTCCATTCAGGTGTGCCCACAATTTGAAACAACTAAGTCAGTGGTGCTGAAAGCATGCCAGAAGAAGCATCGTGGCCTTCACAAACCCCAGAATCAGGATGGCAACTACAGTTTACTTCATGCAGGAGGAGCCGGAAGAAGAGCCTGCAGATTTCCACCTTTAACTTTTGAGAATCCAGAAGGACATGCAGTCTGCCCCTCTGGTAGTCCGACTTGCTTGAGGAAGAACCCATGGCACTCTTGCAGGCAGCCCAAGAAAGGGGCAGCAACAGAAGCCAACGTCCAGGTGAACGCTTCAGGGAACTGTACAGAAACACCTCTGTTCCCGGCTCCCCAGGATGTGGAGCCACAAGTCTTTGGTCCACCAGATGCAGAGACTGCACAGGTGCTGTCCGTGAGGAACTGGCGAAGCAGCAGCACCCCGGCACAAGTAACCAGCCATGCCTGGCATCCAGAAGAAGCGCTGGCGTTTGGCGTGGATCCCGGCGGGAGCAGGGAGCCGGCAGCAGTGCTGGTTACAGACACGCCTGAGCAGGAGTACGGAGTGAAGGTTACCTGGAGACGGCGCCCTCACCTGATGAAACACCTGCGGGAGAGAGGGAAGCTGAGCGCCGCCGAAATCCTGGTGAAGGCGACCCCCTTCTCTCCAGGAGAGCCCCCGTCTCTCCAGGAGACACCCTGACGCCTCAGTCGGCAGCAGCAGCGGTTTCACGCGCAATGGCGCCTCCAAACAGATACCGCTGCTTTCAGGGAACGGCCCGCTCTGCCTCCGCCGGCTGAGCCGCCCGAGACACCCCGTGCGGCTGCGGACGGGCGTTTTCCTGGGGGGGACGGGCTTCCCTGAGGAACGGGGAGGTCCTGGAAAGCACTTTCCGACCGACGCGGCCTCCGCCAGCGGCTGCTCGCCGAGC